TTTGGGGGATGGACCCCAGTCCACTTTTGTTGGGGGGGGTGGATCCATCCATGGTTTATGGGGGGTGGATTCTAGGTTTCCCCTGGTGTTATAGGGGGGGACCCTAGTCCCTTTTTTCGGGGGTGGATCCCCGACCACTGGTGTTGGAGGGGGGAAACCCAGTCCACAGGTTTTGAGGGTTACACTTGTCCACTGGTTTTGGAGGGTGGTCTTAAATCCACAGGGGTTGGGGATCGGACTCTAGTCCATGGGGTTGGGGGTGGAACCCTAGGGGCCATTTGGGGTTTTTAGGGTGGAACACTTTTCCACTGGGTTTTTTGGGGGGTGGATCCTAGTCCCCTGGGGTTGAAGGGGGGTACCTAGTCCCCCGGGGTTTTCAGGGTGGACCAATTCACGGTGTTTTAAAAGGGGTGGAAGTTAGTCCCTGATGTTGGGGGCGTGGTCCCCTTCCACTTGGGTTTTGGGGCGTGGGCCCTAATTCATTGATTTTGGGGGGTCGACCTAGTTCCCCTGGGGGATGGGGGGCATGTACCCTAGTCCACTGGAGTTTGGGGGGGAAAAGGGCCCCTTTTCTTTTTTTTTGGGGGGGGGTCCTATCCCCTGGTGTTTTGGGGGATGGACCCTAAATCCATGATGTTGGATTGGACTAATTTCCCCTGATGTTTGGGGGGGGATACTAAATTTCTGGGTTGGAGGGTGGATACTAGTCCACTGGTGTTTGGGGGAAGATCCTAAAACCACTGGTGCTGGAGGGTGGATCCCCAGTCCCCTGGGGTTGGGGGGTGGGAAACCCAGTCCATTTGGGGTGGGAGGATTGGCCCTAAATCCCCCGGCGTTGGGGGAGGGGCCCCCTTCCCTTTATTTTGGAGGGGTTTGGAAACCAGCCCCCTATGGTTTTTGAGTGGGAAACCCATCCACTGGTGTTGGAGGGTGGGAAACCCAACCCTGGTGTTGGGGGGGGGGAAAACCCAAACCACTGGTGTTGGAGGGGTGGACCCTGTTTCCCTTGGGTGTTGGGGGGATAAATCAGGCCCCCTGGGGGTTTGGGAAAGGGAATCCTAGTACCCCTTGTGTTGGAAGGGGGGACCCTAAATCCCCTGGTTTTATGGTTTGGGCCCTAGTCCACTGGTGATGGGGGGTGGGTCTTTGTCCACTGGGGTTGGGGGGATGGATTTAAATTCCCCCGGGGGTTTGGGGGGTGGGTCCTAGTCCATGGTTTTTTTGGGGGATGGACTCTAGTCCACAAGGGGATGGAGGGGGGATGGGTTAACCATTGGGGGGGGGAATAGGGGCCCATTCCCCCTGTGTTGGAATGTGGAAACATAGTCCCCCCTGGGTTGGGGGGGTGGACCCCAGGGGTTTTCTAGGGGATGGGGGGATGGATTCTCCATGGTGGTTTGGGGGGTGGATGCTTTGTCCAAGTGTTGGAGGTGGCCCAGCCACTTTGGGGTTATGGGGGGGACCCTTGTCCACTGGTGTTGGGGGGATGGGCTTTTGTCCACTGGTGGGTTTGGGGGGGGATTTAGTCTACTGGGGGTAAAGGTGGGGCCAAAACCACTGGTTTTGGGGGTGGATCCTTTGTCCAATGGGGTTGGGGATGGATTTTACCCAATAGGTTGGAGAGGGGGAGCCTATCCACTGGTGTTTTAGGGTGGATCCCCGGTCCCTGGTGGGGGAGGGGGGGATCCTAGGGCCCCTGGTTTTTGGAAAGGGGAAACCTTTTTCCAATGGTTGAGGGTGGAATTTTAGTCCCCTGGTTTTGGAGGATGGGCCCAAAATTTATGGTGGTTTGGGGGGGGAAAAAAAGGGCCACTGGTTTGGAGGGTGGATCCTATCCACTGGGAATTTGAGGATGGATTTCCTTTTTCAACTCGTGTTGGGGTGGAGCCTAAAGAACTGGGTTTGGGGGGTGGAGGCTTTTCCCCCCGGGGGTTTTGGGGAGTAAAGCCCATCCACTGGTTTGAGGGTTAAACCTAGTCCAAAGGGTTTTGAGGGGGGATCCTAGTCCCTGGTGTTGGAGGGGGATCCCAGCCACTGGTATTTTGAGGAAGGATCCAAAACAACTCGTGTTGGAGGGTGGGGGGCCTAGTCAAAAAGGTGTTGGAGGGTGGACCTAGTCCACTGGTTTTTGGGTGAAACCCAGGGCCCCTGGTTTTTTTAGGGTGGGGAAGGGCCAGTCCACTGATTTTTGGGGGGGGACCCTTGGGCCCCCTTTTTGGAGGGTGGGGGTCCTAGTTTCCCCTGGTTTTTGGAGGGGGATCGTTAAAACCAAATGGGGGTTGGAGGGGGGCGGCCCAGTCCCAAAAGGGGGGTTGGGGGGTGGATTTCCAGTTCACGGCGTTGGGGGGGGTGGATCTTAGTCCAGGTGTTGGAGGGTTGGATGCTAAACCCCTGGTGTTGGAGAGTTTTAACCGATTTACCTGGGTTTTGTGATGGACAGTATTTTTACGGGGGTTGGAGGGTGGCTACTTTGATCATTCTGTTTGGGGGGTAAGAAACCTAGTCCAATGGTTGGGGGGGGTAGATTCTAGTTCACTGGTTTGGAGGATGAACCCCCAGTCCACTGGTGTTGGAGGGTGGAAACCCCAATCCGCTGGTGATGGAGGGGGGGATCCTACTCCCCCTGGGGTTTTGGGGAATGGACCCTAGGCCCCTGGGGTTGGAGGGTGGATCCTAGTCCACTGGTGTTTGGGGGGGGATCCTAGTCCACTGGGTTAAAGGAAAAAAAAACCCTAGTCCAGGTGTTGGAAGTGGATCCAGCCCCCTGGTTTGGGGGAGGACCCAATCCACGGTGTTGGGGGAGGGGACCCTAGCCCATGGTATTGGGGGATGGATCCTAATCCACGATGTTGGAGGGTGGAGCCAGTCCACGGGTTTTGAAGGGGGGAGCTGTCCACGGGTTTTTTGGGGGGTGGATCCTAGTCCAGGGTTTTGAGGGGGACCTATCCACTGGTGTTGGGGATGGCCCCTAGCCCATGGTTTGGAGGATGGATCAAATCTACTGGTTTTGGGAATGGGGAGCCTGTCCACGGTTTGGGAGGGTGAACCAGCCCCACGGGGTTGGGGGTGGTCCTAGCCCACTGGGTTGGGGGTGGTTTCTAGCCCCACTGGTGTTGGAGGGTGGACCGTAGTCCACTGGTGTTGGAGGGGGGATGTAGTCCCTGGTTTTGAGGGGGGGCCGTAGCCCACTGGTGTTGGAGGGTGGCCCTGCCCATGGTGTTGGGGGTGGACCGTAGTACATGGTTTTGGGAGGGGGATCTATAGGGTTTTTTGAGTGTAAGCATTACTTTCAGGATTCATCAAGACTGAATAGTGTCTAATGTTTTTTATTGGGAAATGAGCCAATTTTAGTATAAAATTTTAGTCCACGTGTTCGATGTGCCACTTTTAGCCCCCTTGAGTTTTTACAAAGAGTGAACCCCAACTCAGCCCCCTGGGCTTCTTCAGAGTTAACACCCCCCGCTCCCTTGAGCTTTTTTCAGAGTGAACACTCAGCCCCTTGAGCTTTTTTTGGTGAATACCACTGCTATCATTCGTTAGAGACTAAATGCCATGGGATTTTTCCTACTCTATTTAAGGGGGGCTTTGCAATATTACTGAACGTCCCGTAAGTTTCATTGTTCCCCTTTATATATTTCCATTTTTTATGGGATTTTCTGCAATGTTACTGGAATGTGTCAGTAATGTTGCTTGTAGCCCGAATACTTCAGTTTATATGGGATTGTAAAAAATTACTGGGCGTCGTTCGTAATATTGCATTGGTCTCATAAACATCAGTTTTTAAAGGAACGTCTGTAGTTTATGGACTGTGTGCTCATTGCGTTGGTCCCTATATCAATCCAACCTTCCCAAATTCATACTTCAAATTTTTCGTTGTATGACGTTGACAAAACAAAAAAGGAAGTCCACATTGTGATGGGACTCACCCTTTTTAAGGCGTGTTATGTGGTGTTTTTGGGGTTCCCCGTAAACCCTTGTCCTCCCCCCCCCCAACTTCGCGCCGCTCCCTACGGAGCGGCCCGGCGCATATCCCCTTCCAGCCCTTGTCCGGCTGTTGGTGAGCGATTTTGGTGGTACCCTGCTATCAGGTTATCAGCCAAAGTAATTTTGGTGCATGGTTTGGGGTTTTCCATGTAACAAAGGTTCTCTATGAGACCCTTTTGGGCGAGTAACCCTGGGCCCGGCTCAAAGATCGCGCCCTCATCGGTGGTGAGTGGGTTAACTTGGAGCAGCATTTATCTTTTAAAAGAGGTAAATTGACACAGGGCAACACCTGGGACTATTTTAGAGTTTCGCCCCCCATGGCTTTGCCAGACAATACAAGGGCATGAGTGAAGAGTGTAAAATGTATGCAAAGATGAGAAAGTCCCCAGCTTGGGAGTTGAATATCACCATAGTCTTGACTACGGTGCTGTTCTCTAACTGATTACCTCTTCTTTTGCATACAATTTTACATTCTTCACATTGTCCTTGTATTGATAAAGCCACTGGTTTGCGAAACGTTACAAATTACCCCGATGTGCCATGTCTTAATTCTCCTCTTGTCGATTAGTATAACCCTTCACTACGTCTGTTGAAAGCAGTAAACGTATCTTTAATATGCTTTTTCTTGGTTGCCTGATAAATGCTACTTCAAGGCTAACATGCGATCATTTCATTCTGAAAAAAAGAAACACTGAAATGAAACCTCAAAATCTGATGATCTTTTATTGACCCGGGTAAACTGATGGATTTTTTTACATAATTTCTCTCCGGGTAGTGAAACTTTAAGCGGGGATATAAAGCTCTTGATCAAAGGGAATTTACGGCGCGTATAACCCCTTTTTGGTTAGCGCTTAATGTTTTATTTTAAGAATTTAAAACCCCCTTTGCCTGTTTGTCCCTACGGGTTTGGCGGCCCCCTTGATTATAAATTCCCCCTGGGTTTCATTCCCCAAAGGGGCTCTTTGACCCCCGTGGGTTTTGGTTTCAAAAAAAAAAGATGCAAATTACCTTTAAAAATGCCGGTGCTGATGTGGGGTCTTCACCAAGGCTTTGAACTTCTCCCCAAGGATCGCCTTCAAGGAGGTCCTGATGCTGGTGAGGGGCTTTGACTAGGAAATTTGGGTCTGCCCAGTTCCCTGAAAAAACCCAAAAACCTTCCATCACTCCCCCCACACGCTTAAAAAAATTTTGGGATTAGCGCTCCCCCATATATAAAAAGCCCGTGGAATAAACATCAATTAGGTTCCGTGTGGTATGTATTGTCCAGTGACTCGCGAAAATCGTAAACTTGCAAACTTGGGTACGGTCGGGTTTGAATCGTGCGACGAGCCGTAGAATCCCATGGTGGTAAATTTTAAAAATTGGACGAATAGTATTGTAGCCAGTTGGCCCCTGTGTCTTGCGCACTTGCCTGGAGTTTTTTGACCCCTTCCGGGTTTATCCCAAAATATATACAATAAGAACATTAAGAAATGGGTTTTTCTCCGTAAATGGGAAGCAAAATACCGACCATTTTTAAGCCAGATAAACATAAGATGCAATCAAAAACGAGGACCCAGGGGGCGCAAGCTGTCTTTCCTTTCCGGGCCCGCATGCTGGGGAAGGGGTCTTGATCTACGGAACCCCGGGGCTACTCAACTTTTCCCTTTTCCCGGGTCTATCTTAAGGGCTTTTATAAAATATATATAATTTTTAAATATATATATTATATATATATATTTATATATATATTAATATTTATATATATATATATATATAATATCTGTGTGTTCACCTGGGTTAAAAATGATTAGGTAATTGCCTGGGTTTAAAACCCTGTATCTCTTTTGCGTTTTGTTCGGGACTTTGCGGAAGACTGCAGGGAGAAACCCCGCGAGACCAAAGGAGATATACGGGAGAATTCTCAGAAAGACCCCCCGAGGAATATATGGCAACTTTCAACCACGGTTCGGGTGGGGTCGAAATCACGGCAAATGAGTCGTAAAAATCAGGTCCCTGGGTTTGAAACCCCGGTATGGTGGAACATTAAGACGTTTTCATTAAGAGCCTTTGTCCCTTCACCTATAGGTACCTGGGTATTTGTGGACTGGTGTGGGGCACCGGGGCAAAATTACCTAATTTCCCCGAAATACTTGCCTAACAATGGACTTTCTATATAGTAGTGGTCTTAATATCGTTGGGCCCTGTATCCCTTGTACTTGTAGAAAAGATTAAAAATAATTTTATTATTTGATTATTATTGCTATCATTTTTTTTATTATTAAACACTATTTGTAAATTTATTTAGTGCTAAGAAACTTGTAAATAAACAGCCCCAGGTGTCACAACCAAAAACAAAAAAAAAAAATGTTGTAGTGACTCAAAGAGGGGGATGTTGCGCAGCTGCTCCAAAATTCTATGCCGCCACTCCTTTAATTTCCTTGGGCAGCTGTAAATTCCAGGAAGGGGTAGATGTTAACATTCAAGACTCCACCACTTTTCCTTTTGCATAGCAACACGCTATGGGCGCGAGACCCCCTCGTAAGTATTAAATGCTTGGCCAAGTCATTTTTTTTTTTAAGGGTTACATACATAAAATTTTTTTTTTACTTTGATGAGGGACTCCATCGAATTTCGCAAAGAAAAAACATAAGGGGAAAATTGTAATAAGAATGCAAAGGAAATAAATTTTGTAGTAATTGGAAAAAAAAATATTTTGGGGATATCATTTTGTTAAATTTGAAAAAAAAATATTTTTGGGGATTTTAAAATTGTAAAAAACTTTTTTTTTATTATTTATCAATAGCCTTACAAAATAGTTTTTTTTTCTAATTGAAACGATGTGTTTCGGGAAATTTCTATCAATTTCTGGAATGAGTCGTATAAATGTCTAGTACTACTTAGTTTATCCCCTCCTTCACCCACATCACTTATTTTGTGTGTGGCAGGGAACAAGTGCGGGGAACACTGCAGGGGGCCCACTGCTTGAAAATCGAAAGAAAAGCGGCCCCGCACATGCACCAGGCTGTTGAACATAGAGTCCGCCATGGCTATGACCAGCTCGCAGCAGAATGTTCCATCCTATCTCCGTTTGATACATTGCCCTTGATCTTTTTTTAAGGGAAGTACGGGTAAAGGGACGCCCGCGAAAAATTTGGATACTTATCAAAGTTTCGGTGATGGGGGGGAGTGTTTAATGGAATTGGGAAAAATCGCCGAATTTTAGTCAGCGACGTGGTCATGATCAGGT